TCGGTAATTGCCTTGTCCTAATTTTGCATGAAGCTATTTCATAAGTTAATTGAAGTACGTTGGTAATCACCCAGTGACAGCAGGAAGTTTCAGTGGATGCCTAAAGTGTGAAACCTCCGCCTCTAGGTTAAAATCTGTTACAGCATAATATATAATAGCTTTCAATAGTGACTCCGCTAATCCTTATCTTCTTCAGTTAACCAGATCGTTATCTATACCGTCATGCGAGGTTTCTACCCATAAACGATTAATTTGAACCCGCATAGTCCTTAAAGTCAAATCGAAAAATATATTTCCGGTAATTTATGATCGGTTCATTAGACACTTACAAACCCTATGAACCTCCCATATTTTCATTATCTATATAACTTCATGGACCCGATGATGAATTACCGAAAATATGTTTGCCATCTTGAATAATATTTATAGAACTTTTCTGGTTTTTGATAAGACTCTGTCTGTACGTATAATATATTTGCGGACAATGACCACTAGCACTCATGGTAGCCTCAAAAGGGAGCAGTTGTTACACTGACTGCCCTCGGCCAAAAAAACCTCTATTGACTTCCATCCTATGTTCATCTCTTAGTTTCAGGTGGACGTCACCATTGTTTCATTGCATTTTCAGTTCCGTTATCAGTTGTCTCATTTTCATTCATTCATTCATTCTTTCGTTTCGTGTTCCGGTCGCAAAAAATCCTCCTGCCATTGCTATTTTCTTTGTAGCAAGTGCTACACGCATGCTTCGGTTTCTAAACTGGTTTTTAAGGGCTGTGGCCGAGAGTTTGGAACAAACAATGGCCGAGCATTCTTTATTCTGTATGCTTTTAGAATTTTAATCAATTTCCCATGTCTTGGTAATGCTTTACATACTCTTAGAGAAGACCTAATTCGTGTTTTAATTCCTCCCTTTTGACTTGTTGACGCTGATTCGGGGATCCCTTTTACAGGTGTGTTTCGAATGCGATATAAACGAGTGCCTTTTGTGGTCACGGGTGACAGAACTCTCGTTTCCCCTGCTTCCTCTTCCAGTAAGTTCCATCAGCCCAAGGCCCGTCGTTCAATATTCTGCCAATATTGGTAGTGGACAATTTTAAAACTGAGATTTGGCCAAGCTCTCCGAAACGACAACATGAAAAAACCCCCGTTCCAGTAAGCAGCCTAAAGTTCGCCGATTGTCATCCCGGAACTCTGACCTTTGCGTATCTAAGACGTCATCTTGTTCGTCTCAATCTGAGGTGGTCGACAGTAAAAGCCAAGTCAAAACAGAGAACATACGCAGACCCTACTTACAATTTCATAGAAAACATCTAACTCGAACGTTATAACGAATGGCAGCTTCCGCGTCATGGACCATGAGGTCTATCTCCATTCCACGAGACTAACTCAGAAAGTACTTGCGTGTGAACCTACTTATAGGGAAGCGGATTTAGTCCGGATGTGCCTAACTTTGTCCTTGCACTTCCCACTGCCCTTCGGTGACGAGACTGAGTAAAGAAGACTGGTGATTAGCGTGGGCGTAGTGAATTAAAAGTCTGTCCATGCGCGTCCCACGCAACATCCTCTCTATTTTCTGTGCATCGGGTCACACCAAGTGATTAGCTAAAGATTATGAGGGAAATGTCTGCACACAGGGAGGGCGGAGGAGTGAAGGGCAGGAGTCGAGATATTAGGAGATATGATCCAGATTTTTTCATATCCAGACAAAAGTGTTAGGGGAAGAAGGGAAGACTGATTTACGTACTCGAATACTTCTGTACAGTCAGCGTAGGCAATACATAAGGCAGAATGGTTATCCTATAAATAAGGGGACATGAGTAATCAAAATAAGGCTGGCATGCTCTCATATTCAGAGCCAAGGTAGTTGCCGGAATTAGGTTAATTAGTTGAAAGTTTCATTGTGTGCGACTCCTTTTGACAGTTTGAGGAAGTTTCAATTTATAGTGAGAGGTTAAATACATAGGTTGCGTAAGAGGAACAAAAAGTATTCATTTGCATGAACTTTTAATCGCTGACTGAGATGACAGCTGCATTTGAGGCATGAGACTGGCGAATACACCGAGTGGCTGCATTTAAGTGATAAAGGACAAAATGACGAAATTTATGGACGCGGCCGATTAAGCCCCACCTCATCTTCTCCCCCTTCAGGTCAACTGGCAGGTGACAATAGACAGTCAGTTCTGCGGTGGTTTGGGCAACAGTGATAATTACGTGGCCGCTATGTCCTTTTACCGGTTTTCTTTCTATTTATTGTTGTGTTCTCCATGAACCGAAGGCACTTTAACACTCGTTTATGAAAGTTCAGCGATCGCTAACGGAACTCACTCGTCCTGCTCTGCTTTAGGTTTCATCCTCGGGCCCTGACAGCAACCGCACAGCGGCTAGTAGTCTAGGCAGACAGAAGTGCCGGTCCGACCTAAACCGGCAAGAGAGAAAGCTTGTGGCTCAATGGTTAGAGAGCTAGACTTCTGAAAAAAGGTCGCGAGTTCGAGCCTGGCATGGCGCACCACTGGCTATGATTGGCCGACAACGGCCAATAAGCCAGAAATGATCATTCCAGTCTCCCTTATCTTTGTCCGCAATACTATCTACCCGAAACTATCTTAAGCTTATTTTTAAGGATACATGTTGACGGTATTAGCGTGCTCGTACTTGTATGACCGTGATCCTGCCTGATCTAACCGGCCTCAATAATGTCATGGACCGTATTCATCAATGAAGGGCTCCTGTGATTATTTACCATACTGGCAGTACAGGTACTAACTAAAAGCCCAGACGCGTGTTACATAGCTATTCTGTCGCTGCATGGCATCGCTGTAAGGGGTTTGACTCATAAGTGGGTTCTTACTATTTTCTGTGCGTTTTCATGCGGGTATTCCAGTTTTCAACTTGTGATTTTTTAATTTCCTGAGAAATCGCTTTCCGACTTGGAGTAGGTCAGCATATTCAAGCGTCTACAGGAGCAGAATGAAATTTTATGAGAATTTTTGGGTCGAAATCCATCAGCCACTGCGGAATAACCACACAGTTGTAGCTTACCATAGTAAAAGCCTGGATACTAGCTTAAAGGTCCAGACACGTGTTTCGCCGGTACTCTACCGCTGCTTGACACAGCTAGTACCTAGGCTGTTAGTATAGTAAGTTAAAACATCAGTTTACACTACTAAAGTCTGTATGTCGGCAGCAAGTGGATATTTCGCAGTGGTTGAGTGTTTCAACCCAAATGTACACTTACAATTTCGGTCTACGCCTATAGGCCTTAATTATGCTGATATATACCGCGAACAGAAATTAATTTCTCAGGAGATTAAAAAGCTAACCACACAGTATTCAAAAGTTGTCAGCAGTATAAATTAGTAATTATGATTAACCAAACCGTACACAGCTGTACCATGCAACGGAAAAAAATCGGGAAAAACTTGTCTAGACTTTCAGCTGTTGCCTGGGCAGCCAGTATAGTAAATAATTATACAAATCATACTAATGACTGTCTGTTGGCAGCTTAAGAATATTACGCGTTTAGCCCACAGTTGCTGTTGGAAATCGGCCCAAATAGTTGCATCAAATTTCAGTCTGAATCCGTAGATACTTGATAATAATGATATACCTTATGTTAGAAATTTTGAGGAAATTAATAAACTACAATTAATATAGCACATGCGTATGCTGTTCAAATTATGCGGACAAAATACCAGTGAAGAGCACGAAGCCGAAACTGTTGAATCATAAAGTGGACTTACCAAACATTGTGAAGGCGCACCACAAGCAAACTTGGTGAGCAAATGGAACTTACCTTAATCTGAACAGACATGGAATTGCCTCGGGTAGTCTGAGTCGACCTGTTCATTCTGTCACGTGGTCTGCCGTTATCATCTTACAATGACAACTATTGTTCATGAAAAACAGGTCTATTAATGAGGCGCGAACAATGAATTAAAGGCACCAGTTGTCAACCAAAGCCATTGCACATATCCACGAAAAACTAGACGAATTCCGTTTTTGTTTCCAAAAGTAAAGTTGAATCTGCAGATTAAAATTTGATCATATGAAGATTATCCGCGATCCTATCAGTTGGGAAATCATGACATGAGTTAACAATTTATTATTTTTCAAACTGTTTCAATGGGAAAGTTCCGGTAACTTTTCATAAGTCTCCTCAATGAGGAGGTACAGCTTTTTTTGTCATCCCTCGACGCTGACGTTTATGACAGTTTCATTATGTTAATTTGCAGCAACCGACACTGCAAAAGCAAAAGGCAATCGAGATCTTGTCATATGTAGAAAAATTCCTCTCGAATGAACGCGAAGGTTCGCGATCCAGGTACTTGCATGGATGACTAAGAAGGCAGGTCGAGCACCAGATCAATTGATTTATTGTTCTGAGCTTTCGAAAACTTACAGGTGTCCATCTTCAGAGATAAGAAAGCAACCACAAAAGAGGATAATTATAGTGGCCAAAGGCCAATCCAATGTCAGAAATCGTCAGGTTGTCAAGGGATTAGAAACAGCAAACGAAAAGGGGATGTGGGGGAGGAGGGCAATTAGCTGTCAGTGGAATCGGAGGGGTCGGAGGGGTCGGAGGGGCAATTATATTGGTGTAGGCTAATTAGCTGTCCGTGGTGCTAGGGGTCATGAACAGCAATTAGTATGCCGCCTTGTCACCCGGTAGAGGGCCCTGGTACCGCTGTCTCTTCTTCCAACCGGTTCGTTGTGGGTTCCTGTTCGCTTGCCATTCCTCTCTTATTTTCAGTCGTTTACGAAATGTGAACGCGGATCCCCATTCTATACGCTATACTTGTATGTCTCACAAAATATTATTATGGATCCAAAATTTGCTCTCAATATGGAAAAAATTACCTTCATCTGATTGCAGAAACGATATTCCTGTTGCATGAATGCCAAGTTTTGAATGCAAACCCCTTCGGATGCCGGTTAAAAAATCATTCGGAAAAATAAAAAAATTCTAGAAGCATAACTGTTTATAATGTCTTACAGTAAAACTATTTAAATACGCCTTATTAAACATATGCTCAATACATTCTCCCCTGTAAGTTTCTGATAGCTAATGACATCAATTAAAATTGTACGTTTATTCAATTTTCAAAAATTTTAAGAATAAAATCTTTTAAGACTGCTAGATGGCTGTTCAAATAACTTTATGCCTACGCGTTGAATGCTGCCTCACATTAAGTGTAAAGCATGATATAAATCCACCAAGTTCGTCTACGAGCCCCGTATAATGGTGTGTTGAGGGCATAGGAAAATATATGACCTCACCTAGATGAAATGCTTACGGCTTCGAGACGGTAAACTCTAAATGCTAATGCGACAGCAGATATGGCTTAAACTTATTCGGAAGTTTAAAAAAACTGTATCACCTGCAAAGTATGTCTTGTTCGAGTATAGATTTGAAGATGCAATTTTCTACGATGTGAATACAGTAAGGTTTGTCACTATATATTTTTTCCAATCTAAAAAGATGACAGTAATTTTAATTGTCTAATAATGATCAAAAGAAAAAATTAAAAAAACCCGCGTTGACACGGACTTTACGCAGTCTGCTAATTTTAATTTTCAGTGTGCGTCCGTTTTCTTAAGCAATCAGCTTATTTATGGAAAGCTTCAATTATCAGCTGCCGACATCTTTAAGCCCACCCACCCGTTATAACCTGAAGCCAGCAGCCAGGCAGTTGATAAACTGGACGCCAGTGATATTAACGCATTAAATATCGATTACACATAATCCACGGTCTAAAATTTACACATATTAGAAGTTATCTGAATGCATCAAAAAAGAAAACAAGACCCAAGCACCAAACTGGAGTTCCGAAGAAATCACTGAGTCCCACATCTACACGAATCATATTTTGAAGGAAGCCGTCAGGGCAGCAGCCCACGTCGCGTTTATAAAGCGTCCAGTGCATTGGTCAAAAGCCTAAAAACCTGAATTTCAGCCTCACGTCTTGCTAGCCAAACTTGAAGACACTTTACTACTGAGTGTAAACGAGCCATCTCAGTCGAAATTAAGATGTGTGACCTAAGTTATGAAAAGTTGTGACGCAAACCGATATTATCCTTGGAAGACATCCAGAACGTTATGCAGTTTCAGTATTTGTCTACTTCGTTCCGAAAGATGGTATTTTAGCGTACAAAGTGTATTTGTTATTTAACTTATCAGCCAAAATGTCTATAAATTTTAAGAGTAATTGGCGAGCATACGTATACTTTCAATAAATTCTCATCAGACCAT